ATCATTAATTGATTGTACAGAAAAATGTTGTTAAAGAATTTTGTAGGAAACTTAATGCTCTACAAAAAAGGTATTTTATATATTTTTTCCGTAAACCTCACCATTTGAATGATATTGAAGATTTAAGTTTAATTATTTTAAGACAAATTTCATTTTTGTTATCATCGTTTTCATGATAGGATTTTGAAACTTGATGGCTAAAAAAAAGGTCATTAACTTTTTGAAAATTTTATCCGAGAAATTGTTGGATTTTTGTCGGATTTCAAATTTTCCCGGGGCGTACGATAATTTTACGCCCCTGTGTCGATAAAACGAACTAAAGTCTCTGGGATCACTGCAAGAGTCAGTCATCGTTTAGTAGCCGAGCAAATAAGGCGTTGTATCATCACTTTGTATTTTTATTTCTTTATATTGAATATATTGCATATCCGTGAAGAAAGGTTTTTTCTTTCTACATCAACCTATTAACAACACCGCGGAATTCTTTCCTTTTTGCTTGTTAGATATCCTTTAGGAAGACTGACAGGAGAAGGGGAATCCCACATATATTCAGTTACTTAGAGTTTTATTTTATTATAGTAATTATTAAAGCAAAGAATCATTTGAAACTTTATTATGAGTCAAACATAAATAGGAGAAATGTCATTATTARTTAGTAGTTTCATAAAACTACTCATTTTTTATTGTACTTACATAAATTTGATGTATGTTTTAATTATTTATTCCGACATTTACCAGCAGAAATACTGAGTTTTCCCAACTTCTGGATGTATCTATTAAGTGTGTTTTTGCAAAGAAAAGAGAGGATTTAACTTTCTCTGAGTCGATCATACACAGATGCATTTTTTATGCAAAGTAATAAACATTCATAAACCCAATGTACCGTATATCTTCTTTGTTTTGTAGTTTTAGCCTTTACAGCGTTAAAACAAGCACGGACTGCTAATTGTTGTAACGGAGGTGGGATAGAAATCTCATTTCTTAAAGCTTCATCTTTATTTGCCATAGAGTTCACTTTTTGCGCTTTAATTATTTGTAAGAGTGATTTAATCTGCACAAAAAAAAAAAGAATAATTTTATATAAATCATCTCAGATAGTTAACTATTAATCATTCTTTAGCACCACATAAATTTTGGAATTTGCAAATCTTTGATACACAATTGTATAAAAGTCTAATCATGGACGTGTAACTCAAATTGGTAAAGTTTTAAGATTATTGAGATTTATCTTGTAATAAATAATCTCAAAACCAAAATAAAAGGAATAAACAGGAAATAAAGATATACTTTTCGTTTAAGACGCTTAATTTGCTTTTCTTTGAGACTGTCCTGATATTTCAAACTATCATAGCGATCTTTGATATCAGATAATCATGATTCAGTAATTTGTGTCGCAATTTTCGGCAAGCAACACATCGGAAACCATTCATTTGTTTCTTGTACTTTTCGTTAGGCTGTGACACACCAATGCACGATGATAAACACCTATGATAGATAAAGAAATAAAATTATCTAATCTTGATTTGAAAGCAATAAAATAAATATGATTAGTAACAAAAGCTCAGAGATGTAAAATGTTATAAAAGATATACAATTGTTTTTACTAGGAATTTATAACCGTAGTGCGCGATATATTCAAAAAGATTTGTCGCCATAAATAATGACTTTCATAAAAATGATTACTAATCAAGAAGAAATATACTTAGATTATATTATAGAAATTATAGAAATAATAGTTAAAATTGAAATTCCTTACCGAGATATTGGATTTGTCATTAATTGTAACACGAAATTTCAAATTCTTTACTTTACTTTTTAGCCATTTTTTTGGTAAAGCTTTGAATTCTAGCACATTAATAATTGTTGATGTAGATTACTTCTTAACATCAATCTTTGAACCAGGCAATTCGTGTGACTGTGAATAAATAACATAATTACAATATTATTGTGGGTTTCAATCGGTAAATTATAACGATAAGACGTTACAACAATAAAATTTTACAGAATTTTTTTTATCTGTTCTTCATTCTCATAATTATTAATTTCTTCAGAAGTTAGTGAAGCAACTGTACTTTTTGGACGGTCACAATTTTTACCACAGAATTATTAATTATTATCATTTTCTCATTTTTCTTTGCTACACTTCCACTGGTATCAACATTATTAACACTTCCATTTGTTGATAGTATATCACATACAACATTTGGAGTTTTAACTGTATTACTACTACTATTAGTATTACTCCTGATTTTACACAACTTGGTAGGATTTAACGTTGGAATAGCTTCGGGCTTAAGTGAATACCTTTCCCTAAATATTTCTTCAATCCCATTAGCCATTTTTATTTTATCACTCTTAATGATATCCTCTTCGTTAAAGTGTAACTCACAAACGTATTGTTTTTTTGGTATTAATTGCTGGTTTAATCCACTACTCCGAAATTTTACCAGATCAGGGTGCTTTGAAAAGAATTAAATTATTAAGTGAATTGCAATAGATTGAAGATAGATAAACGTAGAAAAATAGAAGAAATGTAGAAGGATTTTTAAAGATACAATTCAGCAACAACAAAAGAAAAAAAAATTTTTTTACTTACAGTTTGATTAGACCATTTACATCATTGCATTTTTTTATATTACTAATTAATAACTATCAATTAAGGTTATATTACCTGTGGTACAGTGAATAAAGACGTATTTCTCCGATTTAATTTAGCATTCCTATTACGAAACTTGACTAGTCCACTTGTACACCCATGAACAATACATTTATTTACCATTTTTAAATAAATACTACTTTTCATAAATAAGTATCACGTTTTCAACAATTGTTAATGAAAAATATGAAGTAAACACTATGCACGCAATGACTCCCTACTCAGACTGACGAGAGATAGCGCAGCGGTCGTCGCTGCCAACCGCGTTAAGAGACAAGATGTGCTAGGGAATTTGCCCCGAGCAACTCTTGGATTATACAACAATATTATAATATTATTATTATTATTATTATTATTATTATTATTATTATTATTATTATTATTATTATTATTATTATTGTTATTATTGTTATTATTGTTACTATTGTTATTATTTTTGTTATTGTTATTATTGTTATTATTATTGTTATTATTATTATTATTATTGTTATTATTATTGTTATTATTGTTATTATTATTGTTATTATTGTTATTATTGTTATTATTATTGTTATTATTGTTATTATTGTTATTATTATTGTTATTATTGTTATTATTATTGTTATTATTGTTATTATTGTTAATATTGTTATTATTGTTATTATTGTTATTATTGTTAATATTGTTATTATTGCTATTATTGTTATTATTATTGATATTATTGATATTATTGTTATTATGGTTATTATTGTTAATATTATTATTATTATTGTTATTATTGTTATTATT